AACCCCGGACTTGATTCAGAGCCTCACACGAAATGAAGGCTGAAGGTGGATGTTGGTGTCACAGCAACCACAGCCACCTCAAGAACATTTTGATTTAAGCTGAGCAAGCAAACATCTGTGCTCCCAGTAGCATGAGCATGCTGCCTCCCCTCTGGCTCCAGTTTGAGGAACAGCTGGAAAAGTGGTGCTGCATCATAAGCCCTCTGAAAGAGCATGAGCCCATGAAAGCCCAACTGAGATCAGTTCAGGCAACCACTGAGTGTGGGCAAAGACCTGGCGTGCAGGCACCTGGGAAGAGACCCATGCAGGCGCAGATCTGTGACAGGCATGGGACCCCCTGAGGACACCAAGCTGGCCCCCAAGGGCAAGCAAGTGCCTGTGGGGGACTAGCTCTCACACCCCAGCAGGGCTGGGCTCACTGTAGAATGAGAAGCACAGCTTGGACGACCTTCCCAACGTGCTGCAGGAGCAAACTGTGAGAGAGACTTTTTCAAACTGCGCCCTTGTCCTTTTTGAGGTCTGCCAATTGACTTCCCACCAGGTGTTTAAGTAGATCAAGCAACACAGACATTATCTGACAGCCACATGACAAGGTGCCTTTGAGGCATCTTCCTTTTTGCTAACAAATCACCACGCAGGGCAAGACCCAGAGACAAACCTTCCCCTGGAGCATCTTCCCTTCTTCACTCCCCACTTCCAGAGCGTGAGGAAGGCAGAAGAAACAGGGACACCCCCATAAGCCAGCAGCATTTGCCAGGCCCTAGTGTCAAGGGGAGGAATGGGGAGGGATTAGAGGGGAGCAGCCTGCCAGGCACCACCGGGCTAAGCTGCCGGCACTCATCTGGTATGACGTGCCATGCAGACCTCGGTGCGGAGGCACTGGCCGTGGGGTATGAGAGGGGGAAAGGAGGATGGCAGGAGTGAGACTGCTTGGTGGCTTGGCTTCACTGCACTGCTCTGAAGACGGTCCTCAGTGCCAGTGGGGAGAGAGGAGGGGGCTCCTGGGCTCAGGGGAGCTGCAGACAAAGGCGCGCGCTCCCACCTCTGCTGAGCCACACGGGCTGCAGGGCAGGGAGGAAGGTTAAGACAGTGAATGAGAATTAAAACCATTTGTCTCACCAAGGGGGAATAAAGAAATAAGACATTAGGGCGGACTGCTGTCCTGGATAGGAAAGGAGAAGGTACAATCCCTTAAATCAACTTGCACTGACATTTGGATAGGACCCTTGATTTGGAAGCCAACTTCAGCTCCATTTGCTCCTCTTGGGCCAGGCTAATGGTGCTGGGTTTGGATCAGTGCTGCTTTACCCAGCAGGGTGGGATGTGGGATGGGCAGGGCTGGGCTTCTCGCTGGAGTCCACCTCCCTGGTGGGACATCTCCCCCAACATCTTAAGTCTTCCTGTGGCCCTGTTTCCCCACCTAAGTTTGTCTGTGTCATGGCAAGCAGTGTTCCCACGGACAGAAAGTGTTTGTATATGCTTTGAGCTGCAAAGCCAGGCAACAGGGTAAAAGGCAGGCACGTGCTCCACCCCAAGGGAAGCAAGCCTCTTCCATCCCACCACAGATCAAACCTGGCATGCTGGGGTGTGCTTGCTGGTGGCACAGCTGGTTCCCCACCATCCCCGTTAGCACTCTGCAATCCCAAAGCACTTTGCTGCTTTATTTCCTGAGGGCCAGATGGTCCTTTGGAGGGTCAAAATCAGAGAGAACCTCCTGCCTGACATTAGGACACCTGTCTGCCCAACTTGCAACCCAATGCTTGTCTAAGCAGTGCTATATCATTATTGCTGTACAAGGCAAAAGGCAGTGCCCTTCCTCCAGGAGGAGACCATGGCCCTGAACCAGCTATCATGGCCAAGACCCAGAGATCCTGAACGCACGTGGCAAACTCTTGGCATAAACTGCTTCCAGTTTAAACTGGAAAGATTTGCCAGACCACAAGAAAGGAACAGAATTAGCAGACAAACACACATACAGATGCCTTGTCCTTTGGAAGAAGACAATCTGGCATCGGGGGCTTCAGAGCACAGACACCCAACCCAGTATTTGGCACGTCACCCCAAGGAAGTGTTTAGATAAATAACCCTGCTTAACAAAGACAATGTTTGATGGTCTCTAAACCACTCCAAAGATTACAGAACAAAACACTGAATGGCCATAAGTCCTCTGATCTCTATCACCTAACTGCAGGCCTAAAATTATGCTCCCAAACAAGCAGAAAGGGAGCAGGGACAGTTTCAATTTAGGCCATATAAAATATAAAAATTCTCATGCATGAAGGAAAAATATGTCTTTTTAAAAATCAAAGACCCCCTGGCAGTATCTCCACAAACCAATGTTCAAAACTCCATTGTTCAGATAAAAGCATGTGCAGATGCTTCTTGCATGTCCTGTCTTGGCCATCTCGGACAGCTAAGCAGCAGGTTTGCTTCCACCACACAGTTCAGTCAACCTACCCTGACCGGTGCACGTTGGCCACTGCAATGTAAGTGCAGGTTTAATGAGAGCTGTGAAGCCTGCACTGCATTTTAAAGAGTTTATCATGTGCCCAGAAGGTGATTGGGAGCCCAAACAGAACAAGAGAAGTGTCCAAAGACTTTACCAGTAACTATGAACTAGAGCCTACCTGGGTTTTAATCACTGATGCCCGTTACAAATTTCCTCATACGCAAGCTACACATAAATCAAGATGCTGAAACAAAATTTAAAAATAATTAATTTTCAAATAGCCAGAAGGAGACATAAAACAAATTATTTAAGATGGGGGCTGGAGAAACAGCAGCTGGCATAAACCTGCTGGGTGAATTGATGTCAGTGATGATTCTCACCACCTGAGACCTGCTCCGGGAGGACATGCTGCAAAGATGTTTCCCCTCACCAGGCATGGCAGCACACTCTAGTTTCTGCCCTTGCTTTTCCTTGGTCTTCTTTCAGGGAGCGCTCAAGCAGGGACATGCTCAAGCAAGGGAGAGGCCAGCTCCTGCTTCCTCCCCGGTCAATAGGAGGGTTTGTGCTGCCTGTCTCTGAGCTGCCATCTGACAGCTCTGCGACAGGCTGGCTGCTCTCAATAAACACAAAAAGACCCCAAACCACTTGAGTTTTCCAATCCGATTTCACACAGGACTTGTCAGCGTTCAGCAGCTAAAACAGCCTCCTCGGGATCCCATTTCACATACCCAGGGATGCTGAGCAGCGGTTGGAGCGTGTGAGCTCACCCAGCTCAGCAACGAGCAGGCAGGCAGGCAGACCCCAGCTGCCCCTCCTAACCCTGCTCCCTGACAGACCAAGGGAAAAAAAAAATAAGCCCTAAACGTGGATGATGAGAAAGAAAAAAAAAAAAAAGAAAAAAGGCACTAAAGTCCCTTAAAATAATTTGATTTTGTAGATGGGCTTTCCCAGAGCTCCTTTTAAAGATTTTTTTTTTTTTTTTTTTTTTTTAAAAGCTGCAGAAGAAACTCAAGGAGGTCTGCAATAACTGTTTGAATCTAAAAGGATGAGGCTTTCCTCCTTCCCTCCCACACCTGAGTTACTGTGACCTGCCTTAACCCAGACAGAGGCAGGTACTATCCCATGGCTTCAGACACACTGATGTGCTCAGCGGCTGGGAAGCTGGCATTGCAAAATCAAACCAGATGGAATAACAGAAAAAAGAAAAAATGAGAGAGAATCTGAGAAGGGGTTTTCCCAGTTTCTTGCCATGCAAAATCAAAGTAACCCACTGTGGTGGGGATGCAGGAACCTCAAACCCCAGCACGCACAGCCCTAGAAGGATGCTCATGGGGAAGGGGGACCATCCCCCCTACAGTCATCCCAAACTCACTGTTCCCCAGCCCAGCTTGCATGGCATCCAGGCACCATCACCCCGGAAAGGACGACAAGCCCCAAAGCAACTCCTGGTGTGACGTTTTGCAACAAGACCAGCCATTTCAAAACCGCTGTTTTAAGGAATCACTACCACCCCCCATTTTATAAATTCTTTAAGAGGCAAACTTTAAATTAATGTTTCAGGGAAAGA